TTTCTGCATGTGCTCCATTACACCTCAAGAAAATAAATTGGTTAGCATATGACTATATAACTATATATATGTATATATCTAAAATAAATTTAATAAACCCCAAACAAAAACCATCTAATGTAAATTGCACTAATGAAAGGGACAACACTACTTCATTTCGCATCTCATGTCACAAAAAAGGTTGTCGAACCGTTTATAGGACTGAAAAGTGCAGCTGCCCTTGAGATGTTTTTCATAAGAGCTAAAAATTTTACCTTTAAAAAAATTAAAACAAAAATTTCTGGGTTGTACCCAGACTTCTCCGGACACGTATGATGCATCCGCCCATATATATATATATATATATATATATATATATATATATATATATATAATCCCCTTAGCTTATTGCTTCAAAGATCGTCATTAATTGATATTTACTTGTAGTTGAATGGCTACCATACATATGCTCTCTTTTTTTTTTAACTAGATCGGTACCTGGTCAATGGTAGATTTGGTTTATTTTATTTTATTTAAGGCAAAATATCAACTTTATAAAAATGAGCTGGAATCAGCCAGTACTGAGTGATGATTAGTTCAGAAGTGACGACCAAAAGATATCTTAGACCATACTTCTTATATGTAGGCCTCCTTTCTTCTTTTCTCTTTTTTTTAATCCGTATCATACTCTTTCAATCTCAAAATAATTGTTATGTTTATATTTTCACTTTTAGTATCAGTTTTAATACAAGTTGTATTGTAATTGAAAATTCAAATTGATAACTTTTATTAAAATTTATGCTATAAATAAAAATCCAAATAGAACAATCATTTCGGAACAAAAAGAGTTTAATCGTAAATGAATATTTTCATTAAGAAATATGCTAGAAGAAAACATTACAGCAATAGAGAAAATTCATATCACTGTTTCAATTGATCAACTGCTCTTGCCTCTTGTTATAAATGATACTCAAAACATATGTACAAGTTGAAAGCTAGTCATATACAAAACTTCTCCCATTTGCATTATAAATTAAATCAAGACATTGAAAAACAAAAGTACAGAAGAAAACAATTTGGGTCATCTATCCAAAGTTGAATATTGATTTTCGCGAAACTTTATTATTTTTGAAGGAATCTCTCAAACCAATATGATGACAGTTTTCTGTATCTTTTCAAAGTGTTGTAGTCCACAAAATTGAACCCAAAACGAACATTGTATCCATTCAGCCACTCAAAATTGTCAATAAGCGACCATCCGTAGTATCCTCTCACTCTGACGCCATTTCTACAACACCAGAAATAGTAATCAACATAATTGAAAAAAAATGATAGGGATGTAATTAATTAATTATAAATATTCTTAGAGAAATCTTGAGAGATAAACAAGGTAAAATAAAATGAAAGTTAACAAGAGATTAAAGTGCTACTCTTACTTTATTGCTTTGCGAAGAAATTGAAGATGGAGATAGTAATATCGGATTCTAAAGTTGTCTTGAAGGGCTTGCTCAAGTGGCAATGAAGCATCATTTACTTCATCTAACTCCTGAAAATAAAAATGTATGTAAAACATATTTGATTAGTTGATGGTATGCAAATTAATTTTTTGAAATTAAAGGGTCAAAATTTAGAGGTTTACCATTTTCTGTAATGTAAATAACTGGATTATTATATTTTCGTTGTACATAGAGGAGAAGATGCCAAAGTCCTTTTGGATAGGAATGAAGCCAATCCGATCCTGCCTGCAAATTAATCAAACCATCTATTTATTCATAAATTCTCCAAACAAATATGTAGAAACAAAATGGTATAAAAATAGTCATAAAGAATTTTACCTGTTCTCCAATAAGTATGCCTTGGCGGGTTGCTGCCATGTTACAAAATATTCAGATTAAATATTTAAACAAACACATATACAATTAAAGGAAAACTTTGACACCAAAAAAAAAACAAAAAACTTAAGGAAAACAAATTATTATTTGGCGATTAGGAGGTTTTCTACCTGTAAGATCAGCAAGGTAATCTGTAATATATCTGGCATGGGTTTTATTAGGAGGGTTACTGGGATGAGAAGTATACATGGCAGTGTAATAATTCACTCCATGAAAATCATAGGATCCTTTTAACAACTTCGACTCTTCAGGTGTAAATTTTGGAAGACGATTGCCGACGACAGCTTTCATCGTTTTCGGATAATCACCATATACTAAAGGATTCATAAACCTACAAACACATTCAAAGCATTTGCAACACTAATATCATTTTTGAGGTTTGAACAAGATAATCATGATTCGATCGAGTTTCTTAACTCAAATCGTTCAGTTTTTTATGTAACACATTAACGCGTACGTCATTAGTTAATGGATCAAAAAGGGCTTCAAGAAATGAGCCCATATATCTCACTGGAAAAGAAAGTGATCTGTACTTACCATCCATACATAAAATCTAGAGAACGCTTAGTTGCTCGCATATCGGGAGATGAATTAGTCATTGGCACCATCCAGTTACAAACATTTATCATTCCAATGATACCTTTCTGATGAGCCTGTAACCATATTCAAAATCTCAAATTAGTCCTAGGGAACTTTTGAAGATTTATGTACATAACAAAATACACAATATATTCCCAACAAATTAAGTTGGAGTCTGGGGTCAGATGCACGTCGTCTGACTCTTGTAATAATTATTAAAAAAGGGCTATTTCATTGCAAACCAAGATAATTTGAAGTATTGATTTCGAGCAACTTCACTAATGAATCAATTAAAATATCAAGAGAATTTTTCTATGAAATAGATCATGACCTGATATTTGGTTCTATACAATTTAACTGCATATGCATGAGCCAAGAGTTGGTGATGAGATACTGTATAAGGCTCAGTGCCTGAATCCCCTGCCGAGCAATTGCTATTCAACCAGGATGAACATCGACCCGGGACGCTTCGCCCGTTATCATAGCCAAAATTACTATAACTGTATGGTTCGTTGAATGTGATCCATAATTTTACTCGATCGCCAAATCTCTCAAAGCACAAATTTACAAAGTCTATATAATCTTTTCTGCAACCATGAAAATTTTTGTGTCAATCATTCGCAATCAAACAATTAATACCTCTACTTATATTAATTCTAATATATGTTCTTGAAATGGTTTTATTAAAGAATGCTACTTACATAATTTTAGGACTCAAGAAACCACCATACTCATCCTCTAAAGCTTGAGGAAGTTCCCAATGGAATAATGTCACTGCTGCTGTTAAACCTGTAGATTTCAATTTTTATAACTAATTAGAAAACAAAATAGTATTGTTTTATTATTTTTTTTAGATAAAAACAAAATAGTAACAAATTAAGATGAAATTAGAAAAGGCTAAGCTAGATTGAATTGTGACATACCATTGGCAACAAGTTCGTCGATGAGATTATTATAAAACTTAATTCCTCTTTCATTTATGCCTTTGCTAATTTTTCCGGCTGCAAAATTGAAATATTCAGCAATCATCATGTGCTTACTTTATTGTGATATGAAACTAAATATGATAAATAGAGATCATAAAGGTGACTTACTAGGTATAAGTCTTGACCAAGAAATAGAGAAGCGGTACGAATCCGTATTCATTTCCTTCAAAAGTTTAACATCCTCCTGCAAAATATACATAATATGGCAAGGCAAACAATATTCATTAATTTTAAAACAAAAATTGGAAAGGGGAAAAAAATAAGATTGTTTAGTTTCACGTTGGTTAATTACCTTATACTTGTGGTAAGAGTCAGCTGCTACATCTCCATTGCTGTTATTTTCCAATTTATCTGTGATTTTGGAACGAAGATATTAAAAATCCAGATTATATTCATCATTAATAGAAAATAAAAAATAGTCCTAATTAGCTGCCCGTTGGAGTCAAGATAGAGAAGAAATTCAGTCATACGCAAGCATGTACGAACGTTAATTATCTCATTAAAATTAAAGTTAATAAAGTCTCTTCTATTTTTAGGATATTAATTTACAAAATTTGTTAATTAAACAACAGAAAATTAATTTAAGGTTGATATGTTAAGTTAAACCTGGATATTTGTGTGAAAAATAATCTCAATTACTGAGACCTTTATTGTCAGAATTCCATCCTCCTTCAACCTGTATATTTACGTGAAAATAACGTTCCATAGCGAGATTTATACTCTAGATAAACCTGTTAACCATTCATTTTTCCTGTTAAATATTCAAAACTAAAATTAAAAAAAAAAGAAATGAAATAAGAAAAACCTGGTACGAAGAAGTAGCAGTCCCAAAATCAAAACCTTTAGGAAAACTGGTACGATTGAGGATATCAATTCCGAAAGTAGGTGATAAAGGCCTTGAATTTCGCTCAATTTTATGCAACCCAAAGCTCTTGACATGAACTCCATGATTACCATATACAACATACACATGTAAAACCAAGAAAACCCCTAGCAAAAGGAGGCGACCACCAACAGCTTCCATGGCTGAAGATTATAACTATATAATAGCTTGATTTGGCTTTTGATTATCTGATCATTTGTTACCTCAAGCATGCCGGGCTCATGTCGGTTTTTATAGATTGGTATAAAAAAAAATTATCTCCAATTATCATTCCGTTCTCTTTTAATAAAATCTTATCTCTTTTTCTTGATAACATTTAGCTAAAATCTTGTGCAAACACAAAAGGAAAGTGATAAAATTTGATAAAAAGAAAAAATGGATATGCACGTATTTAAGACCATGCAATGCATGCACGAAAAAAATGGGGGTATTGCCACTTTATTATCTTGCAAAGTACCAAGGCTGATATAGGAAAGTTCGATGCAAATTATACTTTCATCGTTCCAGAATTAAACTCGTATCTTTTCAAAAAAAATAATTGTCTGTTTTCCATCTTGACTCTTAATATTTAATATTTTAACTCTCTGCAGTTTTTCCATAGTGTTGTTGCTTTTTTTATCCGAAGAAGCTGTCATAAGTGGTTCCATTTTTGATTAATCATGACAGTTATCAAGTTTCATCCGCGAGTTGTCTACTTGTCTTCTAATCTTCTTATATATATTAGAACTTAATTTTAGAAATACATTCAAAGTTTAGATATACTAAATAATTTGGTGCAAAAATTAGAATTAAATAACTATGAACACTAATAAAGTATGACGCATAAAAAATATATAGTGAGAGATAAGATGGTGATATTTTGCTGACAGTGAAAGATCCTCAAGGATTAATATTAGTACAAACGAACTACAAAATGAAAACAATAAAAGATACTGTGGATTTGTAATACATCTGATTGGATATCATTTTCCATCTTATATATAATTTTAACAGATACTATTTCAATAATCACATATAATATAGACCTTCTTAGCACGAATCTTCGTATCTTTATAACTAGTAAAATTTAACTTTTCACATAATTTCAAATTCCTAAGATGTAATTTACTTATCTGCCATTCCCTGTAATTGTTGTATGTGTATTGACGTTAGTGACAAGATTAAATCAAAATTAACCGACCATGATCGAACAAATGAAAAATTGAGAAGCGGTCGGTGTTGCATATAAGAAAATCAATAAACAAAGCAAAATAGCCACACAAAAAAAGAGGGCATTAATATGTCCAAGTTTGTCCGCGCAAACTACATACAAATAAATATGTACCTACATACGCAATAAATTAAGCTAGTCTAACATTCCAAAAATGAGCACAAAACATATGAAAAATACAGGACAACGGGACATCCAGCGTCTAAGCAAGTAGTATAAGAGTCGTATATAACCCGTAACAACCATTCCCAAAGGAGAGTTTAGCTAGATCTGGATGTTGTGGGACCGTGTAGTTCGTTGCTTTCGTGGCGCAAACTGGTCTCTCGACTGTATCTGCTCTTTGCACCCTAACAAGCAATATTCAACAATAGACATTTCGTTAGAGAAGTATAAACCTCCAATGATGTACTTACTGACCATAAGTCTTAGACATATTCAGTGTAATTTCTTGATTCAGATCAACTACTTCCTCTCCCGAAGGTGAAGCAAAAACAGAGGCGATCACAACATTAGAAGTTATCAGTCAGTACCGACCTCCACAAGTGTTCATTGTTAAGTCCATCAAACATAGAAGCGTTCACAAGTAGAGGCAATCATACAAGATACTCAATTTCAGTTCCTTTCACGATGTTCTTTCTCTCCCTCCAGTAAATTGTCATTTTTCTGTCTGTTCGTGGGATTTACTATTTAGACATATAATCTCCACATGGGAGGCATCAAAAGAAAACCGAAAATACCACCACATACTAAATAGATAATTTGTTGCAAGAAGGTACAAAAATTATGCTACCTATGAATTAAAACTTAGAGAGAAAAACTTCTTACTTGGAAAATTGTGCCAAGCTTTTTCATAGCTTTTGCCCGCAACTTAAGAACATCCCTTGAAACACTAGGGTCTCTGAGCACCTGATATCCAGAAAAACTTCATATCAATTGTGTACAGCGAAAGAAACCGGAACTATTGTACCAAGTAGCCATCAATAGAACCAAAATTAAAGTTCCTGAAGAGAAATATCCAGTTCTAGACATATTCTGAACACAACTAAGCATAGACTTCTAAATTAAAACCGGCATAAACTGAAATCAGAGGCAGCAATATGGTTCAATAATTCACTATCACTGAATCTTAGATGGGTTGCCTACATTAGCCATCTCCTGAATGATGCATCAGAAAATTACCAGCACTACAATGATGTGAACCTTCACCAAAGAGTTCATCACCCAGAGAGCTTAATGCTGGTTAACTGTGCCATCAATATTTCCGGAATGAAATTTAAAAGAAAGTTAAAAAAGAAAAAGAAGGAGGCAGCTTGATGCTTGGAAACTCTAGCGTGTTGGGTGTCTAGAAAGGGTTGGCCAATAAGGACTGATGTTTGTAGCTTTATCATGTTTATTTACGAGACTGTCTTGCTGAATTGAATCTATAACAACACATCACATGACATCTCTTATGATTGCCCTCGACATTTAAATTGCAAAAACAGAACTCCTTATAAAACAAGACCAGAACTTACAGCTTGGCATACACGAGACAAAGTTGACTCAATATCAACCACATTAAGCTGCCAAAGGGAGTTGATCATAGCATCCTTCTTTTCTTCATATGCTTTCATAACGCTCTCTTCAGAAATTTCCCCTTGGTTTGATTTCTTGAGTTCCTCTTGTAACATAAGCAAAGACATGGCACCTGATATCAAGAATAATAGTCCTGTTAATCGTCGAAATTTCAGGAAACGGTAACATTCATTGGTCAGTGATGTTCACCTGAAGCTGCCATAACTTGTGACTTCATTCGGTGGCCTTTGTCTCTCACCCACTCAGCTAAAAAGGGAACCTTCATATACCTTTTATCCTTTCCTATTTCTCTTGCAGCTTGTCTTGTGTATATGTAACCAATTGTATGTAGCATGGGCTCACCAAAAGCTGCAAAGAGTACACAGTGTTCTTCAAACATGACAAAGGTAAATAATAGGAATATGATAATCAATCCATTCGAAAATAAGTGTCATTAGACAACTTGCACACAGTTTAAGAAACACTTAAATAGAGTAGGTATATTACTAGAATATCCTCAACTTACCCCATTCAATCAAATGCTTACGATGGAATCAGAAAACGACACTTGATTTGAAATTGCTCCATTTTGCTAAAACAACACTTATTAAATGGAGGGAGGAAAATGCAAGGAAAATGGTAGTAAGTCTTGCTTACTGCACAGATTGATAGGAGTTATTTTTAACTCTTACAAAGCAAAAAGAAAATAATAACCATTAGTTGCTTAATCAAGATCAATTTTCACAAACATACATCAATATAACAAAGGGCTATCCTAGTCAAGCAGACTTAAGGCAAGGTGCAAAGAACTGGAGTACAATGAAAAAGAACTCTTCAATTTTGAAATAAGTGAAAAACAGAACTACAGAAAAAATCAAACATAATTCAGACTCTTGTGAATTATTTGCCATTAATTAGGGCTCAGGACATGATTCTTTATTTGCTTGATCATATAATGACAAAACAAAGCATGTGCACTTGATGCAATCGAATATCATTATGCATAACAACAGAATATACTGATGAAAGAAAGAAAGGCCATACCAGCATGGGCAAGGCGTTGAGCTTCTGCTTTCGCCCAATTTACAAACTCTTCAGTCTGACCTTCAACAAAAGGTTCAAGACGATTCTTCAGATTCACGATAAGCTTCTCTTCTCTTTCCTTTTGTAATGCCTGGATTTCAGTAGTTACATAACAGAAGTACATTAGGGCTCATCAGAAACAATCCTACAGGAGCAGGGTAAGAGTTAAAAAATTAAACTAAGCAGTGGCTATACATTCAATTTTTCCTGAATTTTCTGAGTGCGCGCATCAGAGTTCATAGAGTTATCATCAATATCAACCCCTGCCAATGAAGCCAGTCGAAGTTGCCCTACATAATCTTCAAAGAAATCACTTCCAAACTGCATTCCAAAGACAGTTGCAGGGTCCACCATAGTATCCCTGGTTACAGGTAAACAAAACAAATAAGAATAGGAAACATTTTTTTATCTTCGTCTTTGTCTCATTAGACCCTAAAGCAGTAAAAGGACAGAAGTCAGCAAGTCATTTGTAAGTTTCCAAATCAACACATATCCTGCTGCCCACTTTAGTTTTCACATGAGGCGGACGAGTCTGAGACCCAACTTGACCATCACAAACAAGAAATGCCACAAATTCCACCAGATAGGTGTGAACATTTTAAGGCTAGGAAACACAAAATTAATATTCTCTTAGATGAGAAGCATATTTGACCACCTCTAAATGCCATCAATTGAACTTAGAGAACCTTATGCTGCCATCTGTATCAGTGTGAGTGACAGAAAGAGAAAAGGTTCAAGAACTTACTGCAGAACTCCAGCTTTTCCATACTTATCGTATGATTCACGCTTCCCTGAATCACTCAAGACCTGATATGCCTCCCCAAGTACCTTCACAGAAAATTCAATCTCATAAGTTAATCGTTACAGACTGAAAGCTAAATATGAAGGTTTACATTGAACTTTACTGCTCAATCCTATGTATGCCTATAAGCAAACTATTGGAGGACATTGGCACTAATCAAAGGGGCATGTCTACAGCTGAAATGTACTTTCACGGAAACTAGCTGCATTAATCTGGTGATCAATAGTTCCACAAGTTATTAAAGAGATTGAAATAAATGAAGAGAAAATCTGAAATATTTACCTGGAAGTTATGAGCTGCTTTGGGATCATTTGGGTTTTTGTCTGGATGCACTACTCTAGCCTGGAACATAAATGGATAAAAAACGAAAGTACATAAATTTATCTGAACTTATTATCTTCCATAAGCCATCAAGTTGTGAAACATAGGAAGAACTCACCTTGAGATAGTAAGCCTTCTTAATCTCGGCAGGGGATGCATCTACACTAACTCCTAGTATATCATAGTACTCAGTTTCCTTAACCATAGCTCAAAAAAGCAAACACCCTCTTTATTAACTGGGCTCCAACTATTTCTCTCTTCAAATACTCAACTGAAAAATGAAAATAAAACCCAATTACACAGCAAATCAAGAACATGCGAAAGGGCAGTCACCAATGCCTGCAATACCGGCATATTGGAAATTTGAAGTTCCTAAAAAATGTGAACCCAAAAACCAGCAATAAATCAGTACTAACGAGGACCACAAGGTTCTTCTTTCATCCAGAACAAGATTAGGGGATTACAGCTAACAGAACAACTAGGGAAAATCAAGTGATGGCGGGATACTTACTATCAACAAGAGAATAAAAGGGGTAATTCTAAGATTAACAGTTCTATCTTAACCGGACAAAAACGAGAATCACAGTACGAGATGTGCGCTAGCCATGAATGGCAACAAAATGCTCAAATTTGGACTGTAGGAAAGTGATCAGTAAATGGATATGCAATTAAAGTATTAATTGAACACGAAATTGAAAGGTGCTGAGGAGGCTTACCAGGCGATTGGCGCAATGATTCTGAGGAATCCGCCGGATCAAATCAAAGATTTGATTTTTATTTTTTAACTTTTTCTGATACAAGTTTAGAAAGGGAGATCTCTCCTGGATGTTTAAGGGTCTTTGTCCAGTAGCTTCAATACATAAATCCAACAAATGGGCAATCAAGATTCGAAGGTTATATAAACTCAATTGACACGTCTTCGAGAATCCACGGCAACGTGTACTTAACCGCGTTACGAGGAAATTTCAGATTCTATGATGTACAATTGCAAATTCTGGCCAAATGCTGCCGACGTTAACCGCCACAAAACCTTAATCAATACAACAAAGTAACTGACAAGAGCAATTCGTAACGGGGCACGTGTGGGTATCTATGTGAAGAAAATGAAAAGAAGGAAGAAAAGGGACAAAACATTGGATTAATTAAATTAAAATATTGAAATATAGTAGTATTAGTGGAGTAGTTTTTTTGTAAGCAAATGCCTTTGCTTTGCATCTCTATTATCAAGGCATAAATTTATCTTTTCTTACCCATTATCATTTCGCGTTCAGTCTGATATCTCATCTCACAGTTATATAATTCATCCATGCTCGAAGTCCAAACTTTAAGTTTTGACCAAGCAAAAACACACACACAAGCAGCGGCACAAAGTCTAGTTTCACCACAAAAGCCCAGTACAGAATGAAGCCCAAAAATAGATATGGGCTATTCAAGTCTATGAGGCTTCCATTGGCTTACGGGCCGTAAAGTAATTTACATTCAACGGCCAATTTCGCTTGCATTTGCAAAAGTAATACTACCTAATAATAACCATAATAATAGTAGGATAAAATAAGAGAGTTCCAATAAAAATTTTAGGTCACGTCGACTTTGGTTATGCTCAAAGCAATGATGCAAAATACTTTAACGTAATAATTCCACCATTTCAAAAATGGGGTATATTCCTGAGGTAATTTTATTTCGGGATTTCTGTTAACCGGTAAGGAGCTGAGAAGTGATAAAAATGATTGCTTCTACAAATGCTGTGGAAATGAGTAACTATATATTATATCATTGATGTTAGCGCCAATGGTGATATAGTAATAATTCTGTTTCTCCTCATCACCATTCACCACAATACTACTCATGCTGAAGTATGGTCAAAATATAAAGAATCTGACAACAGAGGTGACTTACTGTACAACATAACAAACGATCAGTGAAGAAATTTGTCCCATTGCTCTATCAGTTAAATGATACACAATGGAATTTCTGCTGAATTTGCATCGGTGTTAGCTGAGCATGCATCAATGTCTCAGAATTTTCCTTCAAGGCCAGCTTAATAGGACAAGGTGAAAGGGTACATATCCTAGCAATTAATCTCCAGAGACCAGTCAGTTTTAGTGTTTTACCATGAAATAAATACAAAAGCGTGCTCATTCTAGCTAAAAGAATGATGGTGGATTATAGTTTCTTTCCCTATTTCAAAAACTGCCAACATTTTATTAAAGTAAGGAGTTACGGATGTTAACAAATTCACAGCGATTTCTGGTATTGACGGATGTGGAAGTTGGACGTTGATTACTAATATGATAATATATAGTTCTGAATTTTATGTAAGTTTTGGAATGAATCCTCCTACAACATTTGGGTTCGTAGTGGCAATAGTATTTCAAAAAAATATAAAAAGGTTGCACCAATGGATGCATGCAACTTTGGAATCGAATGTGTATTATTGCTTATCACAGTCAAAGGAATCCATACTTAATCCTAAGTACTCAACAAACAATACCTGATGTCAATCTTTCTTTTCTTGTTTCCCCCCTGATATTTCATCAAGGTTTATGGCTTGGCCATATAAATGTCCTCTTTCATATTATTCTCTTAAAGATGCCTCAATCACATTAAACCAACACCCCCACAAATAGCTCTGGTCCCAGGTGCAAAATCTTGACATGCGATATTAAGTGTTCTCATTTCTTGACCACTACTCAACCCTCTAAACTATAAAATTATTTCTTTAATCACTCTATTTCAAATAATTTTTTCTTCTAAATGGTTAAACAAATTAGTGGTCGGAGACGGCTTAATTTTCTTTTAAAAAAAGTACCCACAAAATTTGTATCGGAAGAAAACAAAATGGAGAAAGAAAGACTTCTGCATTTGGCATATGCTAAGTTCTATTTCTATGGCATGAATTTCTTCATGTCTTTTGTTATTAGCATTACTGAGAAAAGGTAATGCTTTAAAATCATGGTGGTGAACAGAATATTCTACCCGTCCCCTTTAGTTATGCAATCTGAAATATTATCACGAGAACTTATTCTACCTATTTTCAGAATATATGGGGTTCTCTTTAATCTTAGATCACTGAGCAAAAGGATGGGGAAAAGCTCAAATATCCGTGTTTGGCTTGATGCTTAAAATAAAAAAGAATATTTGAATATCTCAGGAACTGATCATTTTATATCTCAAAAAATAATCAAAAAAATATTCTGGCCATCGAATTTACTTTTTTTTCCCCCAATCTGAAAGACGTCATAGATATTCCCCAATAATGAAACTCAAGTTCTTGTTATTCTTTCAGTGGCTGTTTATTTTCTGAGTTTAGGTAAAGCAAGAAAAAGATGCTCTCAGAGCATATTAATAATTTAAGATCTTAACAATTCTAGTTGCATTCGATCATTTGTCAATTGCAAATGACCCCCTCAAAATTGTCTATTTTGTAGTATTTTCCCAGAAAAAGATTGCAAATTTTCAACAATATTTAATTTTACTTTCATCTCTTTTTTCCGTAATGAAGATGCATCTATTTTGCTAATTATTTCCAAAGTCAAAGGGACAGAAGTGCTCCAAAACCATTTGGAGTAATTACTTGTAATGTTGGTTTAGCCTTTTCATCTTTTCACCACTATACCAACACACATATTTCTAGCTTAAATTTTTGCCCCATATTCGACGTTTGAATGATATAATCAACTAATTAATGTCAAACTCCCTCCATTCATCGTCAACATGTTTTAACTTTTAAGTTGAAAGTGTAACTGATTTAATCGAAACGTGCGGGTTGAAAATTGCATAATAAGTAAACTTAAGGGGGCTGTTAGCAATAAGGCTTTTTTGGGAAAAGAAAAGAGGATATTTTGGTGATTTCGATGGGAGGCCACTAAGGCTTTGTTGTGGGTACGTCATGATTGACAATCTTACCAGTTAACCTTATAAACAATAATTATAGTGGAAAAGTAGATTAATTTGCAAAAGTGATTACGGAACTATATATGATTGTTAAGCACGCAGATGATGACCTTAAAAAATTTTAACATTAACATGACATCTTTCTTTGTCGTGTTGCATGATTTGTTACTTAATTAACGATTGAGAAAACTAAATTTGTGTAGTAAAAAAACTAAAAAAGGACAAATTGGTGGGTTGATGGCAAATTCAATTGATCATTTCACTATCCTAACTTTAATAATTTTGGTTGTGGAGAGGTGTATTCGTATTCTTTACCGGAAATGGAGTTAACAAAAGTTGTTGGAGTCGAAAAGAAAGCCAACTGTGTTTCTCTGCAAAACCCCAAGTTGCAGTTGCATGTTGCATACTTGCTTCTTCTTCATTTGCCAACAATGACTTTTGGCATTTCCCACTTTCTTCACATGAAAGAGGGAGAGAGATAGATTAAGAGAACTATTTATTGCTCAAAAGAGTGTACGTATTTCCCGTTTTTCCTTTTTTGAGGATCTTTGGAAATTTTATTTTTTTTTTGTCAAAAGCGATAATAATATTTAATATTAAAAGGAAATGTAAATCAATCATATGGTTAAGCAGTACAATACAAGGATTGAGCTACACAATCCGATGATTAAGCTAACACAATCTGCCATACACGACTTCTCAACCCATAGAGTAGCAGACATGCCACTATCTGTGTACAAGTATTAAGAAGGCTCTTTGGAAAATATAACTAGTACTTTTTTTATATGCTTTTTTTGCATCTAATCAAAGATGGACTGATTTGCAATAACAGATTTTGAAATGTGAATTTATTCCTTTTTCAATTACAAAAACGAGTTTAAAGCATAACATCTTGTATACGTAACCTTAATTACGTACATCATCACTAAATCAGAATGTCGACGTAGACCTGTTTTACGGATTCTTTAATCGTTGTAAATATTAAGATGGATCCATCTCTAGCTATCCAGTCCACCATTTTATATCTAAATATACGACGCACACATGCATTATACAACCACAAGTCATTCAATTCGTTACATTTTCTTTTATACTAACATTTTTCTCTTTTCCCTTTTTTGGGGGTAATAAAACAGCTAGCAAGGAGTTGGAGTTGACGGCTATATTACACTCACCTTACCAACAACATAGTTAGACTTTCAAGTTTCAAGAGTAAATATGTTTGCCACCTCTTTAAGAAAAGATTACTTGATCGAGGTCGTCACCAAAATTTTTTGTAATTCTTCGAAGCAAATTAAAAGGTCCTCTTTTCCATCTAAAAATAAAAATAAAAATGCCAGCAAATTAAGTTTATTACTACTACTGAATCATGTTGTTTTCTTCTTCCTCTAATTTGGTGTTGGTTTCCGGTTTCCTAAGTTCCACTGTTTTTTGTTAATACTACTACTGTTTGTCTTTCCAAAGTACAATCACGTTCTGCTCGTCATGTTAAACTGGTAAATTCACTATTTCATAATTGAGCACCAAAACATGGGAAGAGAGATCCAACTTAATAATTTTTTAAAGAATTTTAAGTACACACTAATTAAAACTAATGGGAAGCACCTTTGTTATTTGTACTTTGTCCCTGCTTCCCGCACGTGGAACATGTATATTTTATTTTCTGACCCAAATTCGAACAAAACAGACTGAATCAATGTGATCATGTGTATCCAGTAACCAGTATATGCGTGCGCATTATTTTTTGGGGCTTCCTTCTTGGCTAATGTTACCTTCAAATAGCCATATAGTTAATTCAATTTGTGAAGGTTTAATCTCAAATAATTTCTCTCTAGTACACTCTCGGTCTCTCCGTCTTAAAATAATTATTTACTTTAAATTTTTTATTTGTAATATATTATGTATTAAGAGTGAATCTCAAACTGAATTATTATTTCGAAACAATATAGGAAATATTTTATATAAATACATATTATTCTCTTTGTCCTAAAATTAATAAATAAACGATCGTGAGACGAAAAATTGTACACCTTAAAATATGGGTTAGTTTTTCAGAAAATTTTGGATGCATGGGTGGGGCATGGTTGGGGGGATTTGTAATTAACTCAAATTTGCTTACAACTCTCGAGGAATGAGCAAGGTATGTAGATTCACCAAAAACGCAAAGTTAATTAGGTTTGATTGGATTCCATAGATTTAGTTCCTCACATCAATGATGATGATCATGTGAAAGTTTGCATCAGTTAATGTCTCTCCATAAATGAAGGGAACCTATTTGATTTGTCTGTTCTAACCATTTTTATGTTTGTTTTTTTTTTACTATAGCAGTGTGTTAGCCCACATAAAGTCTCATGACACCAACTCGATTGGGTGAAGCCAAAAAAATTCGATAGCAAGTTCTCCCTTCATATGATCATGTCGCCGCCCTGCCCTTTTTTCGCTTTTGGAGTAACCGAAAGGGTAAAGATTGATGTTCAGCTTTCAGGTTCATTTGCATCAATATTTGCACATGAATTGTCGACTTTGAATTATTATTATTATAAAAAAATCACAAATTAATTATCTTTCGACTCGAACAACATGCAAATTTTAGAGCAGGTGCATAATGATCAATTTACTTTTGTTTCTTGCAATTGTGGTCGAGACGAAGTAAACATGCATGCTTGTTTTTAATATTTTATCCGTCCCAAATTATTGTCCAGTTTGAACTTTCATTTTTAGTATAATAATTTTGAGACAGAGAGAGTATATATTAAACAAATTTCGAATTTTTAAGTGAATGTATAACCAAATAATTGTCGATAGTTGTTAGTTAATTTCAAGAAACAGTCGAATTGCTCAACCACGGAAACAATCCCAACATGAAAGTTGTTCTTCTTGTTCATCATTCATCATTCATGGAGGGGGAAAAAAAAAAGGAGAAAACGATGACGAAGGGTTATCAATATATATTAGTGCATGTTTCTATCTCTATCAGTCCCAAATCATGTATGATTTTTGTTGTCTGCACAAAAATACAAAAGATGGGAAAGATGTCATGTCCAAGTATCCAAACAACCAACAGTTTCATGATTTATGAGAAAAAAACGCTTTAATTGTAGCATTGCCGCAGTGTGTGACCTCAGAAAAATTCAGTGAATTAAGGTTGTAACTTACGAGTCTTTCCACCCACTTGACTATATTTCTCTAGTGGGATGGATTGCGGTTACGTAAACGTTTCTAATGCACTCCCTCCCTCCGATCCTTAATATAAGTCATTTTGATTTGTCTTATATTTAACTTAATTTATATTTTTAATCAACAAAATAACCTTAAAAAATATATCATAACAATCAACAGAAAACAACGAATGTGAAAATATATTTTAAGGGTTTTTTATCAATTAAAAATATGTAATAAGTGAAATTTAGAAAAAAAAAAGGTTAAAATGTTTTATAATAAGAACAGAGAGAATACTAAATACGTTCAATTCTACACATTCGAAGCTCTTAAGGAAAAAGGCTAAAAAATGAAAATAGTACAGGCAGCCAAACATACTCAATTAAATTTATCCAACAACTCCAACTCCATCTTTGATGATTTGAATTTTGATATGAAGAAATTTTTAAGTAATGGACGTCGAGTTTTTGTACACGTCACACAAAAATTATTACCGTAACAACATCGTACAATAAATTGCTTGCAAAATAAAAATCATTTTATTGAATTATTACGCTGAGAATAAAATATCTTCCGCCCTTAATAAATGTGTGATGAAGTTCAGTTGATTGCTGAAGAACTAATTGAGGATCGGAGAGATCACACTTTGGATACACAAAAACAAATTTTGCGTGCAGGTAGCTATAGAATATTGTCTTGGAACTTCTGGTTAATTAAAACTTCAATAAATTAAAAGCAACATTAATAAACTAACAGCTTAACAATAATCACCATATATAAAGATAAGAGAGAGATCATTGATTTTTTTTCTTTTTGTCTAACATAAAGTTCCTGAGCCACCTCCCAGTCATAAGCTACCGGCCGGAGGTAATCCCCCGGAGCTAAGATAAACCCGAGCATTTTTTATGCAATTCATTAGGAAAACCAAAGTTGACAGATCCCTCTCTTTAATTTTGCTTATTTCATACTACTAATTTGCTGCTCTTCAAGATAGCCTAATAATAAATTTAATTTTGGATCCTACCAATAAAAGATATTTTCCTTTCTTAACAGTCCACAAACCAAAATTACGGATGCCACTTTGGAGTTTGGTTTCATTTCATTTCAGTAGTGCAAAATATCAGCTGAAGCCGCCATAAGCGCAGCAGGCTGATGATGATGATAAAGCTGATGATGATTCCAAGGAATATGGTTCATCATAAACCCGGCGCCGCCAGCGATTTCCCCGGCAGATTCGACATTGAAATGATGATTATACGGCGGCGGCGGCGGCTGATCATTTTCCAAGCCCAAACCACCATGATTGGCATTCAAGAAATCGATAATCTCATTGAGGGACTGTAATCTGTGGCAGAGCTCGGCCACCTGAGCCCTCAGAACAGAGTTTTCGGCTTCAACATTCAGATACTGTTGGGTGGTGACATTGATGCTGGTGATAATCTGGTTGTTTTCCTTCCTGAGTTGACTCACTTGGGCCATCAAATCATCCAAGTGCTTCTGTTTCCTCATCCTGGATCTCCTCGCCGATTCCCGGTTCGATATCATCCTCTTCCTCTTCCTCTGATCCATCAGCTGCTGCAGATCTTCCTCCGATGATCCACCCGAGTTCATCAACCCGGATGACCCGGATGATGTTCCACTCCCACTCGGCGAAGCCATTGATAAATTTCACACCAAAAATATCGGCAAAATTAGCAGGACCCAAATAGTTCGTCTTCTTTCTTATTAAAACACTCCCAACTAGAAAAAAAAAGTACACTAATTTTATGCTCTGTTTTTTTTTGGGGGGTATAGTACTGAACTTAGTAATATTTTTTTCTAGAACAAAAACAGAGAAAGCTATAATATAAGTATTTTTTAAAAAATATATAAATATCGCTTCCTAGTAGTAGTAGTAATTAATTGATAATAAGGGTTGGGATCAAAATCATGAAATGTAATAAAACCAGTAAAGGAAGACAACTGAGAAAGATTGAACTAGATGGGTCCTGCGCCGATATGTGGAATTTATCATAAACCCGGAAAGGAAGAGCTCACTGAGAATTGCAGACATGAATTTCAAAGATCAGGAACAATAAATTGGGCATTTAAGATTACCCAGATTAAAAAACCCAAAAGAACTGGAAGGTTTTTTTAGATCATCAAGAGCTTCAAACAAGAAACTAGAGAGATTTGGGGGGATGAAGGATTTTGGGCAGAAAATGGGAGGGTTTTTAAAGGAGCAGAGTGATGCTGAAAGAGTGGGGGTGAAAGAAGAAGAAAATGGAGGAGAAAGGGGGAGGTTACACAATGCAGGTTGATGGGATTTTATAGAATCTCAGACAGTGATGTACAGCTGCTGGAAATTTGTTCAAATTAAGAAAAAAAAATTAATCAAAGTGGGAAAAAAAAAAAGAGAGATTAATGAAAGAAAATAAAAAGGAAGTGGAATAAAAAAGAAGTTTGGAATCTACTACAACTTCTTACATGAAAATAAAAGGCAAAGGGGTGTGGGGAATAGGATGATTGGACATGTGGGGTCTGAAAACCTCCACAACCGTCTAGATCCAGCTGGTAAGCATTATTACTTGACATAAATATGCATGGTTAAAATCCAAAACAGTTTACTAGCGGTACAATTTCAGTGTACCTGTTACTGTGATTCATTTTGGTGTTTCGAAATGAACCTATCCGACTTGAATTCAAACGGGATAGAATGATTATTCTACGATGTTGGAATAGCATAAAAGACTTCAACTTAAAACTATTGTTTTTCAAGAAGTGAAGTAATCAACTTTTTGGGGGTGGTTTGACGAAATTATTAAAGGAGGCGAGGTTTTAGGAAAAGAAGAAGTAAAATAAGCAGATCGCAATGACTAAGATATTGGTGGAAGAAAGCTTTTCAATTTATGGAGTTCAGCTTTTTAAAAGCTCCAAAAATGTGTAGATGTAGTATTACGTACATGTGAAGGTCCAGAAGATTGTGCAATGATGAATTGTGCAATCTGGTACTACTGGCTGAAGTGACATCATGTTTGTAATCGAGTTTCATGCACTTATAAAATAATAGTAATTCATATCTTCGAAATTGTTTGACTATGTTATTTGGATCATTTTCTAAATGTGTTATTTTTTCTATAAAAAAAGGTAGCAAACTAAAAATTTGTAGAAAAAAAAGGGTAAAATACTTCTAAAAAGTATAGAAACACAAAAAAAAAAAAATAGTGAAAAGAAATACCAACGAAATATAGCTTTTAACAAGATTATTGTTTTTTTTTTGTTAAATTATTGTCCATATGGCCTCAAAATCCCGAGTGTTCAAAGAGAAAGATAAAACTATTGTTCATGTTTGTTCGAAAAGTTTTTATCATTTGAAAAGGATTTATTCGACTCATATTTGAATTAGCTGGAATATATATTAAAAAAAATTATTATACGTAGTGTCCATCAAAATCAATAAAGCAAAAAATGGTCATCATTTTCTTAAATTATCTGTCATTTCAGTTACTCTCTCCGTCCCATAATTATTGTCCAATTTGGATTTTCATTTCTAAATCAAATTGTACTAAAAGTGAAATCTCAAACTGAACAATAATTATAGGACAGAGAGAGTACAATATTTTATTTCAAGTTTTCATCGTACCCCTCGAATCATTCTAGCTAAGAGCTATCACTGATCATATTTGGCTCTTCAAAGTAACAAAACCCCAATTTTAAATCATCCGCATTTTTGCTGTTTGAGTTCTAATAAATGATAAAGAAGATGAATTCATTTTATTAAATAGTTCAATGATGAGTACTACACATATATAAATTAAAAAAAAAAGGACTAACCGTATTATGAATTTATTTGCAGGAAGATTTCAAGAGGGCTGCTCGTGAAAAAAAGGAGCAACATATTGTGTTGGCTGCCGCTATTTTCACCAAAATTGCACCCAAAATAAGTATAGTAACAAACAGTTAAAGTTTCCCTTTTACTGTTTTCAGTTCCCTTTATTTCTATGAATGTGAATAATTTTCTCAGGATTTTTTTTCTGACAGCAGTCGGTTCTGAAATCTGAAATGAAATCTGCTTAAACTTGGGGTCTACCTTTTTTACCAATTTACCTAATCATATAAATGGTCCGAAAAAGAAAAAAGAATAAAAGTGGAATCACTCTAATCTAATTATAAATTTATAATAATCATGCAGCGAAAACAGTCCCCCGTGACTTTCTTTTTCATGGCCTCTTTTTTTTTTTTTTAATACAAAATATATATTCTGTAAGAATAATAACAATAATAATATCCTGCAGACAAAATAAAGATTCCTTCTGCGATTCTGTGCCGAGAAAAGATATTCCGACGGTGGTGATTGACTGGAGTGGGGGTGCTGCTGTATCAGTTATATCAGCTCCTTCTCTCTCCCCTATCAAGTTGTTTCAGTTTTTGTCCTTCTGAATTGTCACTTTTCACGCTTTTAGTAATTTCCCCCATGCAAACTCATTGTTTTTTTACTTCCATTCACGGTGATTGGGCTACATATTTAGGTTAGTACATAACTTTTTTTTTTTTTTTGGCTTCTTATTCATTAATTTAATTACTACTACATAGTAATATTTACATGTAATTTATATCGATTTAGAGTATTTTGATGGATGGATAACATTCTTTGTCCGTCAACTAAAATCACTTTGCTAGTTTCGGTTCGGAGTTCCTTTTTCCCAAACACTCAAGAGCAATAGAACAAATTGAAAAACCTTCGTTGGAATGAGCAAGTACTTATATAAGCTTCTTCTTTTTTTTAAAAAAAAAAAGGTTCCTTTATATATTATAATAACCTAATCTATTACAACACATTTTGTTATATGCCAATTTATGGACTTCATCTACATCTCGCCTACTAGCTTTTAAGATTTTACATAACGAAAAATTCGAAATTAGAGTACATATTAAGCCAATGATTTCTTGAGCTTCCGTCGGGATTGGTATTTGTGCGAGATCAAGCGTGAATATCTCGCAGTCCGTAAAAAGCTTTACCCTATTAATTCCAAAATTAAAAGCTTCCCGAAGTGTCAATAAACAGGTTAATACTTCCGATTGAAAAGGAGTTAAAACTTGCAGTGTTGTAACCTTAATTTGTATAATCATATTATTTGGAGAGGTGATTTTCCACGCTCCAGCCGCACAACGAGAGGCTGGATCAAAGGAACCATCTGTTACAACGATCGTCCTTATTCATGTACGGTTTTGTTTTTGTTTTTATTTACGAAATAGTTTTTCTTCTCTCGTGTAAAATTGCTCATCAATTCGTTGGAGGTGTGAATTGATATAAATTATTGACCCACCACTTGGAGCATTCCAAAACAAAACACCTTTGATCTTCCTTGAAAAGGATAGTAGTATTAAGCAACACGAGTGAAAAATCAATCCTATTTTCACTCTGGTTATGTCGTTGAATTAATGAATATTGGGAGTTCATTAGTCAATTTCTTGAACTACTAATGCCTAGTAATGCGGCCTGTGACTGAAAACTTTGGTATTGTAACAAATGATTGTAATTTCATAAAGGCCTGAAGGCTAAGAATGCAATTATGGAGCACAATCAAAAAACAGAAGTAGCACTCTCCTCTGTCAAGAACTCGCTATTTTTTTCAAAATGATTGTCCAATTCGATTTCGTTTTTAATAAAAATTATACTAAAAATAAAAATTAAAACTGAATTACTCCTTCCGTCCCATAATTATTGTCCAATTTTACTAAAATGAAATATTTTATTTTTGGTCAAATTTAACTATATTTTACCTTAAACAACTAGATATACCCCTACATAAGTAATTGTTTAACCACTAAGATTTTATGGATAATGTTTTTTACTAAGGACAAATGTGTAACTTGATCCATAAAAAGTCAAATTAAACAATAATTTTGGGACAAAATTTTTTGGGCAAAGTGGACAATAATTATGGAACGGAGGGAGTATTATTTTAGGATAGAAAAACAATCATGTTTGTTGTATTTTATTTATTGCAAACATGAATTGTTTTAGGAAGGAAATATCAAATATATCCGAACAGTGAACGTGATAAAACATGGTTCTTCTAGAACATGCAAATTTTCTTCGCTTTAATGGAGTCCTCCTCGTAGTCAAAAACGGGATAAGAAGAAATTTTCTACAGCAAATAAGAAAGAGAAAAAAATAAATCATATGAACCTGCATGGAAAGAGCTATATGTATTGAATTATTATTTAGTTATATAACTTTTGACAATGAAATGATACGCAAATGCAATGATCCTTTTGGGTCCCTTCAAACAAAGATTCATATAATTTGCTTCTTAACGTTTTTAAGCTTCAGCCAAAATTTTCGTTTATCATTATAGCCCCTCCAACTAGGTCTTCTTCCTTTTTCTCTTTTTTTTTGGCTTCCTATTCTAAAAGCTTTTACAGAAATTCCAGATCTAACTTATTTCTCTGCACCTTATCATCTAACTGTTTGCTTTTGTCTTTTCAATGGCCATCAAAAACTTCCTAGTATTAGCTCCATTATGGAATCCAGAAAAATCCAGCGATACAATTAAATGCTCTTAATTATACTCGAGAAACTGATCAAATTGTATCTGTACGTAGCTTGTGTTTACAAATTGATAATGAGAAGATAATTACTACTATGAAAGACTGCATCCCACTCTTATTGGAGTCAAGTTCGAGTTTCTTTGTGTGTATGGAAAAATAGTTGATGAGAAATATATGCTCTTAAATACGGCTCAAGTCATGTGTAAATTACTCCCTCAATTTCAATTTGTAGGTCGTTTTAAGTTTGGAGAGATTTTTCAAAATGTAGGTCGTTTTATAAATTCTAGGCAAATTAATGACCATTTTTCTAATTTTACCCTCAATAAATGATGCTAATCTATTTTTATTTAGTCTTGTTTATAATTTCAATGTAATTAATGAGGGGTAATATAGATATTTAACATATAAATTAATTGTTGGACGATTGTCTCATTAGTTTACATATTAAGTCTAAAAGGACTTATATTTTGAAATGGAAGGAGTAATTTGATTGTGATGCGTGCCTAATTAGGTCTGAGCAGTGACTTTTTGCACTAAAATGGAAAATAAAATAAAACATCCATTGTACATTTAAAGTGTTATAAAGCTAACTTAAAACGTGATTTGACCTGACACATAGTCAATTAAATACCTTCTTATTCGGAAAAGATGGTCATGACATTTTTAAAATTTTCCACCTGTCAAGGGTTGATGGAAACTTTGATTTTATTCACAAAGATTTATGAAAAGATGGAGAGGAAAAAAAAAAAAAAAAAAGGAGCGAAGAAGAAAAAGAAAATGACTTTATCTTTTTAAAAAAAGGTAAAGGACAGTACTAGCAGCTACTGAGATAACCCATTAAAAAAAGAGGATATGCTATTGAAGAAGTATATAACATACAACAAATATTAGTAGATGTGATCGATTATTTAAGTTATCAGTGTCCAAATTTTGTACTCCACTTTATACTGAGTTTTGACTTTGTACTACGTGTCAAATACAACAAAATTAATAAATCCAATTCTAAAATGCAATATCGATCGGATTATGCTACCAATAATCATAGCCCACGCATTCACCAGAAG